TCTATTTTATCTAATTCTTTATTGAATTTCATTCTTTCATTAATTAACTCATCAAGATCAATTTCTCGATTGCCATCTTTATCATAGTCCTGCAAAAATTCTTTGACTTTATTATTTAACTCGTCAAGTTTTTTGTTTACTTCCCCTAATTCTCCACCAGCAATTCTTTTCAAAGTTCCCAACAATTCATTAAAATTATCTAAGAAATTATCGGCATCGGTGAGAAATTCGTTTCATTTCTGCTGCTTGGTTTCGTAAAGTTTGTCTTTCATTTGGGAGGCACTTATTTCCACTACTGGGGAAACTGCCGCTAATACTCCTCCTAATATGGGATTAACAGTAGCTGCGAGAATACCACCGGTAACGGCTGTGCCACGGGCTAATCATTGACCGCCTTCTCCTAAGTATCAGTAAGTGTTAAGTTCTTGAGGGTTTTGTAATTTACTGAGTTCAGTTTGACCATTATTATCCTTAGTTCCTCATTTTTTTAAGAATTGTTTGAGATTGTTGCGGATGACGAATAATCGTTCGGAGGGGATGACATCGGCAGTAAGTTTGTTTTGCCTATTTGTTTCTCGTCATTGGTCAAGGTTGTAGTATTTTCCTTGGCGATCTCTTTCTAAACATTTATTTTTTTCTAATTCTTTGATGATTTTCTTGTTATTGCAATAAAGTTTTTCACAATTGGCAGGTAAATAATCAAAATTTTTAAATTCAATGTTGGTAATGTGTAATTCTTTTAATTTAGTAAGTTTTGACAAAATTTTTAAATTTTGGAGAGGAATGTTTGGATTATTTTTTATTTCTAATATTTCTAAATTAGCAACCTGTTTAAGAAAATTTAAGTTTGTGAAATTATTATTATTACAACGAAGTTCAATCAAATCTTTGCAACTGCTCAAATCAAGGCTAGTAAACTGATTATTGGAGCAATTTAATCCTTTTAGATTAGAAAATCCTTTTACACTCAATCTTCCTTTTAGTTTTTTGCCACCGATATTTAAAGCAACTTTTTCTTTTCTTTCATTTTCCGGATAACCTTTATCCAATCATTCCCCCGCATCCGACTTATAAAATTTCACACTATCAAAATTTTTTAAATACTCCAAGATCTTGTCTCTTGATTTTTGTCGAAGGTTTTTATTTGCTTTAATTTCTTTTTCATGATTACTGTGATCATTAAAACTAATTAACGGATTATTTACATAAATAATTTTTTCTTTTTTAAGAACTTTATTATTAATTTCTTCATAAATTTCCTTATCGTTGAAAAAAGTTGTTAATTCTTTTGTATCCTCCTCGCACCTTTTTTTGCTTCTAAAGTCTGTAAAATTGGTTCTTACAATAGCAGTAAAATCAAGTGCTTTATTATCAAAGAGATACTCGTTCAGTCAAAGAAATTCAGTTAAAACTTCCTTGTCTAATTTGCCCCTTATTACCAAAAAAACTTGGCTCATTCCTTCATCAATGTAAGTACCAAGTTCTTCTTCAAATTTTTCCAGTAATTGTTCTTTAGATAATTTTGTGTTCCCTAAACCGACCGTGTCTATTACCCGATATTTTATTCCATTTTCTTCAAATTCTTTATCGACTGCTCTTCAACTTTTAGTGAGTGAAGAATCATCTTCTTTAAATTCATCAGATTTACTTAACACGTTAGCTAAAGTTGTTTTACCACTTCCCACTTTACCAATTATGATTATATTTTTAATATCTGTCATATAGTTACTTTTTATAAAAAATATATTCATATAGAAGATAGTTTCCATATAGGAAAAGTTTTCTATATGCAAAAGTAAAAAAACAAAAAATAATTGCCTATGGTCAGAAAAAAAGGAGATATCTAACTAGTTAACTATATATCACTCCTAGTTAGATGTAAATAGGATTAAGTTCCGGCAGTGATTAAATTTTAAAAAAAAAATCAATAATATTTTAAACTAAATAATCTAATAAAAAATAACATGGTAAATAATATTTTAATAATAGGAATAACAGGAAACGGAAAATCGGCTTTGGCTAGTCTTTTAGCCAATAATAATGAATTTAAAGAAAGTAGTTCTGGTACTAGCGAGACTAGCCACTTTCAAGTTAGTAAGGAACCTTTTGAATATGAAGGTAAAAAATATCGTCTAATTGACAATATTGGTTTTGGAGATAACAAGGGAACTTCTGAGGAAGAAATTTTTTTAGAAATAGGAGAAGGGATTTACTCCGCCAAAGAAGGAATAAATCAAATTCTGTTTGTATTTGGAGGAAGATTTGGTCCAGAGCAAGTGGAAGTTTTTAAAAAGTTTAAAAGTTTTGTCTCAGGAAATAAAATCAATGAAATTGCTAAGTTCACCACCTTGGTTCGCACCAACTTTCCTAATTTTAGAGACCAAGAATCATGTGATGAAGACCGACAATCTTTACTTGACGAAGACAATAAAGATCTTAGCGAGGCAATTGAGTCTTGTAGTGGTGTCATATATATAGATAACCCACCCATACCTGAAGTAGATGATGCTGATAGTGATGATGAGGCAGAAATAGAACTGGTTAAGGAAAAAAAAGAGGCCTCGAGAAAAATAGTGCTTGATTACCTAGCAAAAAATTGTGGAAAGCCCTATGAATTTGGAGAATGAAATGCTATATATAAGTTAGTGGACGATTACATTAATAAAAAGAAAGAAAAAAGTGAGGTAATCAGGGATATAAAGATTCACTTGGCGAAAGAATTACTAACTTCCTCAATAGAACAAAAAGCAAAATAACAGAATATTATGGTAGAAACTAAAAAAATACTCCTAATTGGGAGATCAGGACGAGGCAAGTCTACCTTGGCTAACGTGCTTTTAAATAAAAATGATAATTTTGAAGAAGTTTTTAAAGAGAGTTTTAAAAGCGTTAGCGAGACGAGAAAAATTCAGTGTGAAGAATTCGAGGACAAAGCAAACAATATCAAATACTTAGTCATTGATACCCCCGGCATTGGTGATACCAAAATGTCTAATGATGACGTATTAGATATTATTGCCGAGGCGGTCTATTTAGTGAGAAATGGTGTCAGTCAAGTCTTTTTTGTTATCAGCAAGAGGTTTGATGAGTACGAAATGGCAA